CCAGCCTGTATTTGTGCTTGGGATTGCTCGACTCATGTGCAGGACCTTGCACTCTGCCTTGTTGAAGTTCATGAAGTTTAGACAGGCCCGCCTCTCAAGCCTGTCAAGGTCCCTCTGGATTAATGACTAATATACATTTATTATTTTAGCACTCTAGTAATAGGAATATTCAAGATAAATCTTGTATGAAAGACCAGCTGCATCCTACTTTGAGTCTTAGCAATACTTAGCCTCAGCTTAATTTTGGCTCCCATGAGCAAATACCCTAAGACTTCTTCTCTTGAAAGACAGAAATATGCTTTGGAAAGAACTGAAAACCCATGTCAGTTTAGAAGGGGGAAAGCCCCTGCGACTACATCCGCACTGCAGACATTTTTCTGTTCGGGTTTTGATTTGTTTTCTTTTCCCCTGGTATAAGGCAGCATAAAAAGGATTTATCATAAGGATTGCTGTATCAATGATTTTCACTGCAAGGACTAAATGTGCTTTTTCTTAACTGCATCTGAAGGAGAAAAAAATCATTAACAAATTTCAGAATCATTAGCTTTTTGGAAGAGCATAATGAGTGAGGTTTGTACAAATTATGAAAAGCATCTATGAAAACTACTCTAGAAATTATCATCTTCTACAGTCAAAACTACAATGTAATTTGGAGAAGAAAAAAAGAAAAAAGTAAATAAATATATACATACTTACATAATGCATAAGTGTGTGTACCTGAAGATGATATTTAATGTTAAAGTGTGTATAGTAAGGTGGTAGTTTCTAGTATGTTTAAAAAGAATAATTATCACTGAGTGACAGCAAGACAGAAATGTTTGGTGTACACGTGTTTATCATTACAGATTTTTTTCTAACCTTATTCAGCTATAGACAACCTCACACTTGTTTTGGCCTTTACTGATTCAAGTCTGTATATTATTTTTCTCTACATCAGAAATCCACTATTTTCTGTTATCCCACATCAGTAACACTAGCCCTGGGGATGCACTTCTTCAGTGTGTGATGTCTCTGGTCAAATGCAAGTGGTTTGCTTTCTAATAGTGGTGTACACCCTGCAATTAAAAATCCTAAATATTGGAAATATCCATCAATCATTCTACTCTGAAAAGACATAGAATAATTAATTTTTATTAAAAATTACTATAACAATATAGGTGTAAAAGAAAACTGTATAGGATAAAGCTAAGACTCTGTTAGTTCCTCTTTGAAGTAAGTTCAAAAAAAGACTACTACTATCGTGTAAGTTAGATCACACTTTGTTACCTTCCATCTCTATTTAGCCATTTTCAGCAGATATTTTCCCCAGTTGTAGATTGGATGTCTAGTCAAATTAACAGCTGTGATGGAAGACAATGTTTTGTGAAATGAAGCCGTTCGTTGATTTAAAGGTGAAATGTTCCTAGTCTATGGGCATTGTAAGGGTATATCTTCTATACTGAAGAAAAGAAATTCTATTATTAAGCAATACTGTATTAGGGAAGAGTCATTTCACGTCCTACTCTAAGTCCACATTAGAAATCAATCCTAATGATGTCCTAAGCTTTGCTAGCAGTCATGAAACTTGAGTTAGTATAGTTTACTAGAAACATACAGGTTACAATATGACAAAGATACAACTCTACAGTAGCACAAAATAGCGAAAGGCGATAACTGAAAGATAAGATGCAGCAACCTGATGCAGTCATATATAAAGAAGCTGTGCAGGATGCTCCAACTACCAATGGGACACCATGTGCTGTAGTGATTATATCCATGTAAATCAGTGTGCAGTGAAAAAGGGAGCTGAGTTGGGGCTGATTATCTGGCCCCTCTCAGCAAGTTATTAGATTAATCACCCGCCAACACATTTGAAAAACATATTCCAAAGGCATAAGTAGATCAGCCAATCTCACATTGTTAATGGGGAATCAAACTGAGCAAAAAGCTTATCAGTAATAATAATAGCAAACAGTGAACTTGCAACAGATTTTCTACCCAAGAACAATGTCCTCAATTCATATCAGTGATAAAGACAGTATTGCAAAATCCACTCACTTAACCTTCTGTTTTCTTACTTAACCTTCTATTTTCAGTTACTTTCAGTTACAGCCTCTACTAGTTTCGGACTGATGATTCCTAACTTTGCAAAACCTAAATTAGCAGAAGCGTTTAGCTTGGATAGTAGAAGCATAATTAATTTCACAAACATTTGCAGGCTTTCAGTAGTGATTCGAAGATTATCTCCAATATTTCCCTGTACTTGGCATCACTCTAGATATTTCTTTTATGATTAATTCCTCCTAACATCTTGAAATCTGCTAATTTTCACCTCTACTGTATTGTCTGCATATACCACCTTAATTTATTCTTTGTTAAAATCCTCCTCCTGTACTTACAATGATGCATTATGTGAGTATTAATGTCAACCAACTTCCATGTTGCTGTACATGAAAATTCAAATTAAAAAGATAGCTGTAGGAGGAGAATGCATGGAAATATTCTTGAACCTTGAAAACCAGTGAAAACTAAATACTGATTATTTCCTTTCTTTTAACTGCCTTCTTAAGGGCTTTCTCCTATTTTTAGCTCTCTTCATGCCAGAATTTGAAAAAACACTACTGTTCAACATTACAAGCGTTCCCCTTAAACATACCAGACAGGAGAACTGAATCTGTACTGTCCTCACAAAACTCTTTATTTATTTTTGGATTTAGTTTACTTTCTTTTTCCTTTTAAAATCCTCTATTTAATATTTCTAGATTTCTTCTCAACCCCCTGTTCCTCAATTTGTCAAGCATTGACTTGCCTTTTACTTTTTTGTTATAATTTTACCACTGTTCAACAGTCTCATCTGTATCACAGGCACTATGGGAAAACCTTAGTTCTTTGGACACCTTATTTTCTTTTTGATTATTTTCCATCTCCTTTTGAAAACAGGATTTTGCCACGTCCTGCTACATTATTCTCTTCTACTTCTACTCCTTTTCTATTTTAAACTCACATTGTATTGTCAACTGTTTGCACAAAAATAACATCTTAGAAGATCTGGTTTTGTATAAGAGCTACATAATCACAGAAAACATTTTACTACCCTTTGTTAGCTTTAAATACAGCTGTTAAGAAGAAGTGGACTGCACACCACAAAGCTAAGTACACTAGGAGTCTGAACTGTGTAAAAAAAGTGTTTCAAAATTCATGTAAACTATTTAGCAAAAAAGAATGTGGTAACGAATCTGGTAGGTCAGAGAGACAACGTATATCCATTGATAGGGCTCTAGCTTGTGAAGGAAAAAAAAATAAAATATTTTTTTATAATACGCCCCAACATTAAGCTACCGGTATCATCAGGGAGAGTCACTCCACTTCTCTGAGTTTCTCTTTGCAGGCATGAGGTCTGGAATACTAAATATACATTTAACTTAAAAATAAATTATAAGTTTATACAAACTGACAATGAATTTATCCATAACAACAAACATACCCATGCTTGCTGCATCAACAGTTTGTGGTGTCTCTGTTGACAATTTCTGAAGGGTCTGTTCACCATCTGTCTCCTCTGGTGAGCTGTTATATTGAGGCTGCTGTTGGTCTTCATCTTCAGCAGCAAATGAAATTACACCTAAAACAAATAGACACCAGGTGTTATATTAGCTAGGGCATTAGCTTTATAAAACAGAATGCCAGACATGTACAAGTATTTCCTCAGTTCAAAACTAATAAAAAATGAAGTAAAACTTCCACTCCAGGTGTCAGCCATTCAATTATAATTTATGGTAATAAAAAAATAGGTCTTGAGTAAGTCCAACGAAATTAACCATTTTTTGTCCCAAAAGTGTTTTTCTAATTACCTGAACTAAAGATCATTAATAAGACACACAAGCAAACTCATTTTTTAAAAATTATACAATATGGTAGACAATAATAGCATTTTTCTTTCCAGTGCGATTTTCTATGCATAGTCTTGATTATTTCTGTTATTTTTTCAAATCACTGTCTAATTCTAGTGCTATAAGATAATAAACATAATAGTTAAAGTTTTCCTATGATACCTTTTTGTATTGTATGTTAAGTTGTAATCAAGTATTTACAGAAGATAGAATACATAGAGATTGTAAAACCAGCATTTTTAAATTGGCATATTTCTATTTGATAATATAAAATCTAATTTAAAAAATCTAGTATGTACATGATTCCTTTAAATAACACTAACGTTATTCTGGAAGATTTGATATACCAGCTTTGAATAAGCAGGTTTTGTTTCTTGCGTTATGTGCCTCTGATTAAGAATTTTAAATTTATACAAACTTTTGGAAATACTACGTATCATTACTATTTTATCTAAATTACCGTCCCTCAATATTTCAATACATTCTGGAGAGTTTCAAAGCTGAAATAAAGATACTTTGCAGGTTTATATATATACTAATGAAAAACTAATTTGAGGAGGTGACTTATTTTATGATATTATACAGTAAGATATTTTCCCATTCGAGATCATTAGAATTTATGTGAAATGGTCTCCCAAAGGGAAGTTAAGTAACTGTGTCTTATTAAGGGTTTGGGAAAGTTATTCACAGTGGAGTTTTTTTAATTTGAAATGGAGAATTAATATAGTTTTTATGAGAGTCCCAGAACAATTTGATTTGCTAATACCTACTCTTAATGGTATTTTTTGTTTCTCCAGCTTTGAGTGGGATAGATGTGTGATAACAGATCACATGGCAGAGAGGACGTGCTGTGCTTCCCAACCAGTTGAATTTAGCGTCTTACTAGCATGAATAGCTAAAGGTAAACAGCAAGGCTCATGTGGGACCTTGAAAAGGGAACAGCAGTGATGGGGAGAGATGAGACCACACCGGTCACAACAACTGGCTCAGGAAGCTGCTGTGACTTTAGCAGCCAGGAGCTGATCAAGCTTCCTGGACACACACCTGGACACACCTGTCTCATCTACAACCCTGAGCCTTAACTTTCTTCCCTTAATCACACGCTTCTGCAGAATGCTGCATTCACACTTCTAAACGTTCCAGTTTCATTTCATTTCAGGAGGGATCAATCTTAATAAAATGGCCTCACGGTTAGTATCGATAATAATACTATGCTAGCAAGATGTTACTCTTAAAAATAAACAAGGGGCAAATAGAACAGAACAGAACTAAAGTCAAATGCTACCAGGAAGTCTTCGAAAAGCAAAGTTTGTTAATGATATGCTCAACGGTAGCTACACCAGGTGGCAATTTCAACATGACAAACCCTGACAAATTATTTCTGGTAAGCAAGATTACATTAAATTGTTACAGGGAAGCAAGGTTTACCATCTTCACATTGCCACTGTCTCTTTTTCACTGAGAGACGGCAACTGGTAACACAGGTATAAAACACTAAAGTTGAAAACAAAACCAAAAAAATTGAAATAGATGTGTACTTAAATCCAGACAAAGGAACTATATAATTTTAAATGAAAAAAGATGAGAATTACAGACTTTCTTCCCTCTGTTAAGAAAACTCCATAAAAATACAAATAAAAATATAAAATAAAAAATAATTAAAATCAAAACAAACCACTTTAAATAGATAATTTTTACAAAAATGAAACTATTATGAAATCTCAGGAGAATGAAGTCTGAAGAAAATGCTCAAGCTATATAAAAATTGATGTAAGAGGACCTATTTGATGGGACTAATAGCTAATGGAATTGAGGACAAATATTGACTAATTAATCCAATTTTATGTCTCAATAGATAATTCCCATACAATTATGGTCTATTGCAGCACAATGTTATAGAGAAGCAAAGTACAAGAGAAAGACTTCATTAATTTTAAATGCCATCCTAACCCTCACTATACATGAAAGACATCAACAAATATAAGGAAACTGCTTTAAAAAAAATGTGAAATTATAACTTTGAGGTTGATTAAAAATAATTGACTAAATGCAGAAAATCACTAACTTCATAAATTCTAAAGCCACCTTACAATAGAGAATATTTTGTTATACTTCATTCTAAAATTTAAGTAATTTTTCCTTATGGTCCTTGCTTCCAGTGACAACGGAACATTTTCTTTACCAATTGTCTGTATTTCAGATTATTGTATTGTGCATATGTGTTTGTGAGAGATAAAGGGACAGAACATGAGTGCTCACAGCTTAAAAATTTTTAGTTCATCAGTAAGTAGGGAGATAATAAAACAAACAGAAACGTTTTTGGCTCTGCACAAAACATGCTCTTAAAAGCATCAAAATAATTGGCTGAGGAACTCTGAATAATTAATTTTTATTCACAGCAAATCTTGGAACGCTTGAAAAGTTCCAGAACTGTAAATTGCTAATGCTCAAGAATATTTCAAGAGTTAGTGGAAGAACTATGGTAACTAAAAATTACTTGAATTGCTAAACCACTGTGCTGATAACCCGGCAATCGCACGATCGAAAATTCAGTGAAGAATTGCACTATAATTGCTGACACTCAATTGTCCTTCTTTATAGAAAACAGATCTCAAACAAACAGAATTAATAACAATAAGGTTAAAATCTTGATCAATAAAGGTGACTGGATTGATGTAATGTATTCAGATCTCTGCAAGGCGCTCAATTATATCTGTCAAAGTATTTCAATAAAAAATAATCAATTTTACTACAGATGTCATACATTTTTAAACTCAGTTTATCTGCTTAATCTTAAAATATTCATAAATTGTCTTTCATAATTTTCATGGGTACCAAAGCATCTACTACTGGCTCAAAGCTATTTAAATTTTTTATTAGCAGAAAAAAAGAAAATTATTCTTGGCAAGAACTGCAAATAACTAAACAAAAAAAAAAAAAAGTGAATTAATTTCAAGTCAAACAGGATGCAGACTCCTTATCCGTGAGGACACTCAGTACGTATTATGGTCTGCATGACTTGAATCTTTAGATTAAGGCAGGATATTTTCCTAGGAAGTATTCCTAAGAAGAATGCTCTCCTGGTTTGGGAGTGAATGGTGCAATCCAATGACCACTATTGGAGATTAAGATAGCTGATGATACATAAATATATGAATTTATTCAAATTATGGACTATAAAAAAATTCCAATCAAAAGGTGTTTTGCAGGATGCGAAAGAGTTTTATACAATGCAGAGTAAAAAACGTACTTTGCACTCTATGAAGTAACAAAAAACACATTGGAAAGATGCAGAAACACTGCATTAAAAATTGCATTTAAAATAACAAATAAGCATGTTTACATTTTTTCATAAGATTCTGCTGAGTTTGACTCCTATGTTATGTGAGGGTTTTGGTACAGGGAGTTTTAGTCTTTCAGCAGTGAAATGCACTGCTGCCCTACAGAGCTCACAGTTGCTTACATTGTCTTCAGCAAAGGCAGCAATATCTTATGTTACCTTATTGATCCTGCAAAGCAACTGATAAATGATAATTTGTTCATGCATAACTTCTGTGTCATGCGTTATATAACAACATAACTTGTCAAAATATCACGGCTGACAATTTTTAAAGCATACATTCAAAAACCAGCAAGACTTCACATACTTCAGAGAGACACAATTCCCACTGATTCAACTGGCAACAGAATTATGCCACCATTAAGTATTTTAGAGAATACCACTTCTCTCCTCAGCTGTCCTTTGGCACATATGTATAAAATACTAAACTTGCTAAAGCAACAATACAAGTATTCCTGGAATTATACTGAAAATGAATAATTAAAAATTACATAAATTGTGGAGGTTTTCTTTTTGCTGATACAATACTGCTTTAAAAGGTTTCATGGTCAAAACATCATCCAGTGTTTAAATATTTTATACAACTTCAGTCCACATATTAATACCAAAGCCTTGTTTTATATTGCTTCAGAGAAGATGTGTCCCTTTAAAAGGAGGTGGGCTGTTGTATTTCCCAGTAAAATTGTAATTGCAACACCACATGTTAGACTGAATTATTGGTTATATACTACAATAACCCACCCCCGAATCCAATTAAGAAAGCAAGAAATATCCAGCTTTTTACTTTCTATATAATTTCAATGCACTATTTGAAAGATAGGTATTGTACATGACTATTTTCTGGTGCAGAGATGATAAAAGCCCACAATATCCCACTATATTAACTGGACACAAGAACAGAAGGCTATATGGCCACAGAATTAATTACACAAATCTGAAAAGATATAGAAATGTTTGTCTTGCGGTTTAAATATGCCAACATGATCTTAATATGCATGGGTCTTGGGAGTAGGAAGAGGTTTTTTTATGTTTTCCTGGTTTTTTTTCTGGCCACTGAAATCAATGTTAGTTGCTGCCTCAGAAAAGTTCCACAGAAGAGGTAAGACAAATTAAAAAGATGATCGTAATTTATGTGAGCTGTACCTTTGCCCAATTTTCCTTCAGGCAATTTTTCTACTGACAAAAAGAGATGTTTACTTTAGGTTACAACAAAACTTTATAATATCCATTTTGCATAGGAAAACCTCTGTGATGATAGATATAAATTCTAAAGAGTTTCTGTAAATCCTGCTACTTGTTGGTATACTGGGACTAAAGGAATTGCTCCCTGCATCAATGAAAAGGAAGCAGCATAAGCTTTAAGACTCACACATAGGAGAAATAGATGGAAAGGGTATGCTGGGATCACCTTGCCAGGTGGTGGCATATACAAATAGAGCAGCCCCCCCTTCAGTGATGTGCAGCGATCCAGCGGGGGAGGTATGCCAGAGCCATTCACAGTAATCAAGCAACCAGATGATCCTTCAAACTTTGGCTTTATTACAGACGAATTAGACTCAATTTGGTAGGGTGTCTCAGTTGAAAAGGAAGTGCTTAAAGGAAAGGTATGGACAGATGCTGGAAACAGAGCGATGGGGCTATGAGAAGCTACAGAGTATGATTCCATTGAAATGAGAGCAAGCAATAGATCAATTTGCAGAATTCCACCAATTTTTTTAATTTTTTTTAAATCGGATTTCAACTCAAGTGTTGAAGGGAAAATACTGTTAAACAAACAGGTTTAATCAACTCATTTACAGGCCAGAATGTATTGATGTGATCTTCACCATCTCATTAAAATTGTCCTACAGCTGCAGTCTGACAGGTCATGGTCTGTAATATACTGTCCCTTTTCCTCAGTGGAAGCTTCAAAAGCTCCAACTAGCATGGAAAAGTGCTGCCTACTAAGTACAGATGCAGTTAAAAAAGAAATGAAAGGTAATACATAAAATTGGAAAGCACCTTTGCAAAAGCTACTAAATTTTTATGGATAAAAAGACAATGACTATAACAGGTGTGTATTTTTTGCAAAAGAAATATTCAAGCATTATGAGCTTTGGTCTATTCTGCAAAAATTCTGGACTATTCTGCGGAAAGGAGAAATAACAGTTTGATAAAAGATAAAGTAATATGCAGAAGATGCTTTATCAAACCCAAAGCAAATTGCTCTATTAGAAAGCAGATTGCTGAAGAATTTTATCTGGTGCCAGAATCTTGTGCGAGTTGTTTATTAGCTATTACTTCTATGTTAAAGCTGTCACAGAGCTACAAATCAGCCGAAGCATATAATATTAGCCCTCTAATGGAATGCTTCCAAATGGACTTTTGACAAGAACTAGGCCCATTTTTAGCTTAGCAATCATAAAATAGCAAGACGGAAAGCAAAAGAAGTATAATTTTGCAGCTATATAATTTTGCAAGGAAAAGGACTTTGAATGTAAAGGAAAATGCAGACCATTTGCTCAGTACAACAATTTATATAGTAAAAGTCCTTTTATGAGAACTTATTTTAATACAACGAAAACAGTACTAGAACACCAAGGCTACAAAGTTTTATAAGCACAAGTTAGGGACTTCTAAACTTGATATCATCCACCAACACTATGACAGAGTCTCCAACTGGATATCTAAATACTTGTTCTTTTCTCCCCCCCAGGATAAAATTTAGTCACTCTATGCTAGCTCTTGAGCATTGCTTTTTATTTTCAATCATTCAACAAGTTGGCCCCATGGATCATTTACTTCCCTCTAAACAAATTCAGCCAACTGAATAAAGAACACCTTTCTTTTTGGGTGTTTATACTTTACCTGTAGTATCTTGAACCTAGAAAGGACTAAGATTCCCAAGTCCTAATTAATTCCCACTTGAATCATCTACATCTAACCTGTGATCCTCAAGCTTCAGGCTGGCTGCTGAGAAATCCTGTATCTCAGCTTTGACATTAAAGTTTCCCAGGAGCTGAAAAATCCTGCTTTGGGGAACAAATATGACTTCCTAGACCTGCACAGTATGAAGCAGACAGACTTCCATTCTCCTTGAAGCCACAAAGTAAGCACTCTGATGTTACCTCAGATAGATAGGACACCTGGTAGTTAGGTTTTTTGCATACCTAACATCAGACAGCAAAATCAGGTGCTGCCTTTCAAACCTGTGACAGTGGCCTTTGTTCCTTTCTTCCCTCCACCTCTCTCTCTCCTACAGCAGCTGAATGATTAGAAAGCACACACAAACTTCTGTGACATAACCAAAACTGTCCCTGCTGCAGAGGAAGAATGCACATGATTTCCCAAGGTAGTGATTAAAGCAAGCACTAAGCCAGGGGGTGGATGGTAGATAACTGGGCCCAGTCTCTTTTCAAAGAATAACTTCAGCCTTCTATCAAGTTACTTTAAAGCATAGAATAAATGAACTGCTTTCTAAAAAAAAGAGCGTACGTGGCTTCCCAGCCTTTGAACCAATAACTTTTCTGACAGGTTAGAGGGACCGTCTATTCTCTCTCTTTCTCACTCAGTGACCATACAATACTTCAAAACATAATGGAAACCATTGTAATAGACATTAGGGGGATGACAAAACATAGGACCTGTTGGTCCAAATCTGCCATCTCTGTCCCTTTGAAGGCATGGCTTTTACCACCTGGCATTAATCTGCTGTATGATAGATCCCTTGGAACCTCTTCTGCTGAAACTTGCAGTACATATAAAAGAATTGGAGATTTTCTAAGCCAGAAGAAAAGAATATTCCTAAGTCTTTAAAGCTTGAAAAAAAGGTGTAAGTTAAAATACAGCACATCCTCAATATTTCCTGGTGAACATTTTTGATACTCACATAGTCACAAATTTTATTGAAAGCTGACTTCTATTCAGCGAAAGTAAATTTTGTCTCAGGGCTACGGATTTAGCAAGAAGGCACCGAAGTCTTCCTGTGGCACTAGGCCAAGCTTCATTAGAAGTATTAATTTCTTTTCACATGTGAATTGAGATGGCATTATTATTTACATTTTACACATCAGTTACTAAAACCAAAAAGGCCAAAAAAGCAAACTAGTTCAGCATCCTCATGGACAAGACTTAATAGCTTTTTAATGTTGAGAAAACAGCTGTCATTAATCTCAATTGTCTAAGACGGTGGCAGAATCAAGGGTTTAGAGTTAGGAACCCACAAAATCAAAACTATACAGTAAGGACTTTGGATTAAGAGATTTATCCAATATCAGAAAACCCTTCTGTTTAAGAAGTTGTTAAAATCTAGGTTTCCTGAGAGCTGTTCAGTTACTTTAAGGTGGTCTCTTCTGTTCCCATAATTCCCTCCCAAACACACTCGTACTTTGCTCTGCTGAGAGTTACTACAATAGCTTCTCTACGAGGAAGAAAAAGACAAATTGTACAGCCTCATTCTCACAATCATGCCTTTCAGGTTATACGATAAAGAATGAGCACCATGGAATTGTATAATTATTACTAAGCATTTGAAAATGATGAAATGTGAATTGTTAAAAAAATATTAGTTAAAAAAAAATCTTTTCAGGATAAAACATTAAACATGACATGCTGGTGTTAGTTAAAATAAGCAAGAGTCTTGCTAGTATGTAATCAGAATACCAGTATAAACATGGACCAATGCAAATTATTTGCAATTAATTTTAGATATCCATAGCCTCTACATATCTCAAAGAAGGAATCAGGTTCACTACATTCTATGTATTTACTCTTGCCTTCTGGTCAACAAATTGAACTTTAATCAAGAGAAAGAATCAAATTCTGGTCTCTGCCTTTAAGTCTTTGGTTCTAGTAAAGTCAAGATAAGTGCAGCTATTCAAAAGGTTTTTGAAAATTAAATTTAGACTGAAGAACTTGTTGATAATCCAAAATCATTAATTCCTATGAGTCAGTTTTCACGGGACCAATTAAATGCATAAAGTTGTACATATACTGGCATTTTTGAAGGACCTGACCACGTTTTTAGCAGTTATAAACCTTTATAAATAAAAATATGAGCCAACTTAAAAACTAGTATCACTGGTAGTTATAGCCTTACTTCCAGAAGAAAGGTTATGTTGAACAGAAATGTAAGGATTAAATGTAAAGAGATTTAATCTGATAATTTATAGGGAATTTTATATATTTGGGTTCTACATTGTACCTTGAAAGACTCCTCGTCTCCACGGACATATGATCAAAGAGTAAGCGACTCTGTCATCTGGGTCTACAGTAATAACAGGTGCACCACCCACTATTGAAAGATCTGAAGATACCTGGTGAAGAAAAATCACAAAGAGGAAAAATCATCAAAAGCACGTTACTGTCGCAAGAATACTACAGACACAATAACCATTCTACTTGCTTTGAAAAGTAGAGTATGATATGAAGTATGCTATTGGCAAGTCGTATGCTTTATGCACATGAAAAGAATACATACTGCAAGAGTAGTGCTGGCATATACAGATCATACTGAGCATAACTTTTGAAGTAACTGATCAATGCGAGTAAAAGTATCTCACTTAGACCATGAAACTACTTGCGTATGTGTAGAGTTGCACAGTCAGGCCCTTAATATTTTACACACATTTTCATTAGAAGTGTAACAACAACATTTAACAGACTTACTTTCAAAAAAAAATAATCTAATAAAGAACTAACAAAATAGGCTGAAATGGAATAGAACTTCCAATAAAATGTCTGTATTAAAGCCTGGATCCACATACCATGATCACCCCTTCAAATTCATAACAAAATTAGATGTTTTATTTGCATAGGTTTTGTTAGAAAGACAACGTGTGACATAATTAAGAAACTGCAAAGCTGTCCGTGTTGCCCTAATATTTATCATGTAATCACTACAGTTAATTCAGTGAAGAAATGCTGGCTTTCAGTAACCACAAATTTCCCCAAGCCCACACAACGTAGGTTACATCCTTTCACCATCACTCACAAAGTAAGAATTGTAGAATACCACAATGAAACCAAAATGTAAATTATTATTAAAGCTATCATTGTGACCCTGCAGAAAATTTGCTCAAATCAATCCATCTCCAAGGAGCAAATTTTTAAATTATAATGTTCACCATTGTCTTATACCTCAAGTCATTATTTACGCACAGACAGAAAGTATAAGTGGAGCACATTTATAAAATGTTACCATTTCAAATTAATTTTAGTCATAGGTTTGAAAACTCATTCTGCAGAACTATAATATGGCTATTTTAGATGAATAGGAATGGAAATCCATCTTCAAAATCACAGTAAAAAAAAGAATCTTTTTTTTCCAGAGTTGAATAACCAAATAAGCATAACTTCAAAAATGTCAGCTGATACTTCAAGCCAAAGCAGTGAGCGGATGTACAGAACTTAATCAAATATACTTAAATGCCACTATTTCTTTGTATAACGAAGTTAGGCTAATATATTCAAGGTTTCCATTTGAAAATTGTTTCTCAGGTCTGTCTAACAATATTGACAGGCTCTAGTTATTAAAAAGTTAATGCTCCTTGACACTGAGTGAGAACTGGGTCTGTGAGAGTCACTGATCAATCCCATAACCAGATTTTTTTCAATGTCATCAAGAATGGCAGATGTTCTGAAAGAAGTCTCCATTACTTTCCCTCATCCTCCTTTCAGTGCATATCTTGCAATTTACTGAGTTATTAGGAATTCATTTAATTCTTGTAATCGCTTTTATTTTGCCACCAGCGTGTTACAACACTGAAATAAAACACCTTTGCATTGCACTGAGTTTATTCCACAAGTAATTCCTGTCTGTTGAGCTGCAATCCGGAGTTCTGCATGATGAAGAGTGCTACGTAATCCAGATTCGTAACCCAGTCAGGCCACCTGTCATGACCACTAACCTATCTCAAGAAACAAATCAGACTTAAGACCTTACTATGCCTTTACTTGATCAATTTCATAACTAGTAATCACAAAAACAGCCTGCCAACAACTACAGTTTCTCTTCCATTCTGTAGGCTTTTGTATAATTAATTATTGTTATGAAGAATGCTTTTTCTGTAGTGAGGCCTGTTACAGAAGTTCTGGTAGGCAATGTGGAAACTAAAAAGGATTGAGATTGGAAGGACAGATAAAATTAGAAGGATTATGGCATACACAGATTTACTTCTGGTTAAAGAATACAAACTTGGTGAGAGTATAGGACCTTCAGCAATCAGGTTACTGGAGTTGCACGGAATTTATTCTAGGGAATTCTCACAAACATTACCAAACAAAACTTAGCATGAATAGGAAAGACCCTCATAAAAGGTTTACAGTATATAATTTTATTATTTTGAGACATTTGCTACAAATACTCAACCTTCATGTCATTCTTTCATTGACATTGTCAAGATCTAAAATGGATATATAGAGGATAGAGAGAGAAATGCATTGAAGAACACGGGATTTCATATTTTTTTATTATGTACTTATTCTATAATACTTTCAGAAATTACTAACAGTTTGTATAACCTAATACCTGAAAGGTAATTTAACTGAGCCTTGAGATTCCTCTGGAGAGTTTACTTTAATGACATCTATTTTGAACAGCACTGCGAAAAACAGTTACACAGTTTTATATTTTTACTGTAAAACCAAGCCTTGAAAGAATCAGGTACCTTTATAGCTAAAGTTACTATCAAAGGTGTCGTTAGAAGCAACCAGCAACACACTAGACAATTATTTATATCCAGCAGAGTTTTATACAAAAACAAAAAGAAAATGGTATAAAAAATTTTGTCATGAGACTGACCATTTAGATTTTTATGGAAATATTTTACACTTCCTACTTTTGTAGGATGATTTTAATCTAATTTTACAGCCACTAAAACCCACTTACATTGCAGTCACTAACCTTACATTAATTCAGCATTAGAGAAGGATGTGCTCTCTGGCTGACATTATATGTGCACAAATTATGAATTACATTGTGATGTTTTTTTCAGATCCAGGAGTAAAGTTAATCATGAGAAAGGTTATTTGTTGTAATATCCCCTAGAACCAGCCATGAAGAGCACAGTGGCAGTATTTCCCTAAGGTTTACACATCAATCAGTAGAAAATAGTTCATAAAAACGTTCATATTTTTCAAGGAAATTTATGGGAATTGTCTTTTTAATCATGGAAAGCTTTGTGGGCACCAAAAGTGTTTTGCTTAGTATTTTTAAAGGTAGACTGACGGAGTCATGCACATGACCTCCACTGAATTCCAAAGGCAATTCTTCCCTCCCTGACTCTCTTGATACATACGAATGGTTGCACAGACAAGCAAACCACACATACAAAAATTATTGCTGCTCCAGACATGAACACTCTATACACATTTGAAATGGGAAAAACATTATTCAGAGGGAAGAGGGCTTTCTTAATTGGGGAAAGGAAAGAATTATTTCCCTCTTCCTCCTCCCAGACTTCACTTTCATTTTAAATAGTCACTTTTGGAGTAGTACTCTTATTTTTGTTGAGGCTATTAGATAAATACAGTGAATACCGAGAAATAGAGTAGCATATATACAATGTAATTAATTTTTAATGAAATGAGGTTTTATTAAGTTTATAGTTTAATATATTCAGTTATTAAAATGGAATAGTGAAGCTAAATTTACACCTCAAAGGCAAAATTACCCATGTATTAATTCAGCTAAATTACTTATTGCTAGATATTCACTGTGCAGTACATTGTTTATGGACATGCCTGTAAATTATTATGCTTATCAGCTACCGGCACATCTTATAACATTCTTGGTATATGCTGAGCTTTATTACTTCACTAAATGAAATATTTATGTTTTTTTTAAAAATATAATGCATGTCCCAGTTTATCTGTGAGAAGTTACCTTGTAGAGTGGTTACACTCCATCAATGGAGGATGTACAGGGCAAATCAACAAACCAATTCAATAACAAAGATATTTACTAACCAACAAATTACAAAAGATCTCGTCAAAAACATTTCTAAAACTATTACTTTTTGGATTATCTTTGTCCTGTCTGCACCAAAGCTGACAAGGTTTCCTCTACATAATCATCAATTTTAGCTAAAGGACTATACGGCAATATTTCAAAACTGCTGGATTAAAAAGGAGGAGGAGTTATTGGGCTGTCAGCAACTGCCCCCAAGGAAACACCAATGAAGACAAAAATCAGTCTGTTCTGCTCTGCTTCACAACAGACTATCCAGAAATTACAGTAATCAGGCAGTGTGGAATGAACAGCAACAACAAAATTAGTTTCACTTCTTTTTCCTGTCGCCCTTTGTGCTATACACTTCTGAGTAAATAGAGTTTATTTTGCATCTCTAACAAGGTTGTTGGTTACATTTCCCTCTTAGAGGAGGTTTTCCCCTTTCTCCCAATAACTACAGATAATGGTGATCATGTTCTGGATTTACTGATTAAATCCTAATTTACAGACTAACCCTTTTGGAGTTAAAAGCGAGCAAATCATCTTCACTCACTACAATAGCAGAGGACACTACGTGACATCTGCTGGAGAGTGCTAGAAGTGATTAATATTGTTTGCTTTGTTGAGGGGACAGTTTCCAGACACCGGTAGGTTTTGTAATCGTGCCTTTTCCAACAACCCCAGCCTGCCTTGCTTCAACAACTCTTCTGCAACAGCTTCTGGGTAAAATCCTAGTACAGAGAAAATACATATTCACACTGATTAATTTATTACATGCATACAAGCATGAAACAGCTGGCCTTACTACTTCTCTCCCAAAAGTCCCAGAGAAAAAGAGCACACATGGTTGGACTGTCAAGCGGTATTTCACAGGGCCAGGGAGGCGGGGGGGGAGCAAAGCAAACTACCACAAAACCAACCAAGTGAAAGAAGAAAACCACCCAAAAACCAGATTTCAGTTCCCAGAGAACACCCTCAATGAGGTCAAAGTTCAATCAGACCCAGCTCACCCTGGAATAGCTACAATTGTCAACAAACAAACAAACAATGAATAATTTTAATGTATTCATTTTGAAATTCAAAAAATATTGAGTTCACACAAAATGGGAAAGCAGGGGAAAAAAATGTTGTGAACTTTCAAAAACATTCACTTCTTTCAGAGATAAAAGTACAAAAGTATCAGAAATGTAAATGCATTCACATCTAAAAACCTAAGATCGTAGAAAAGAAAACTGTCAAAGCTGTTAATGCCCAAAAAATACATTTCTTACTTTGTTTGGGGGGTTAATAATGCGTCCAAAAATAGGAATATGAGCTTTTTATGATATACAAAGTTTACTAAACGTAAATCCTCCCACATTAGTGGAAAATTGTGGAGTTTAGCAGGAGTTTAAGGAAGGATTTCACATTGCCATGAATTCCCATTAACCAATAGAAGAGTGCTGTTGGCACATACATGATCTATCTTTATAAAATAAGATGAGGCCACTGTCTACCAATACTTCATTTTGAGTAAAGCAGCATTTAGTGCTACTGGCACCAATGCTGAGAACAAAAGATCAGTCATTTCACAAATCCACACTAGTTGACTAGTCAGATTTTATCTTCTAGAATCTACATTCTGCCCTTTTCCTTCCTTTCCCCCAAAAGAAAAACTACAAAAAAACAAACCCTCAACACGCAAACCCCTTCAGTTCAAAAATATATATTTACATATGCTGACAATTTTTAGAGCATGATCTCCTGCATTGTTTTTATAGATCAAGCTCTCCAAGCAAATAGTATATAGCCATAGTATCTAGATGCTATCTACTCTAGATTTAAATGCCATAATATAGTCACAAAGATGGTCTTTGTTGAGCAAGGTCCAAGATGTTCTTGCTCAGGAACCTTCTCTGCAGATGAGGAGAAAAAAGCAGAAGGTACCTTCTTTGCCCTAATGTACATTCCAGCTCTGCTGGCATATGACATGGGGTCCTACACATGTATAAGGAAGGTGAGGAATACTACTGAAATATTTTTATCACTTCCAAATTAAACATGCAGACAAAATAAATGGTAGGAAAATCATGCAGTTACAGGAATACAACAGTGTTTTTAAACAGGAAAATGTGTTTGGGTAAATATAGTTATAAATTACATTTAACTAAAACAATATATATTATTTTATGTTATATATGTCCTTATAATATAGTAAAAATTATATTTAACAGTAAAAAGATCTTCTGGCACAGGGAAACTAACAAAACTGTATTTTCTAAGAGTTCATATCTTATGTCCCTCCACTGAAATCACAACTACCTCAGCACCTCCTACTTCATCTCCCCAGTGACCCATTGCCCTTCAACAGCTCCAGTTTGTTATTTCCTCTGAATTTTCTTTCCCATCAGCAAACACACAAAGTATTCCCAACTTCGTCCAATATCCCTGAAACAACAGCAGGGCAAAAGACACTAACTGCTATAATTTGTGCCAAGAAATGCAAGTACAGAGTGGCCAGGCCATTAGAAACAGATAAATACTGAGCTCATGCTGCAATCTTTCTCTTAGTAGAATAATTTTTGTCCTTTTCCTGTAATATTCCAATGCTTTATAAAGATTTTAGGAATGCTGTAATTCTCAAGCCCCTTCTCTGATTTCAAAACTGATGGAGTTGGCCACTGGTTTCAAACCAGTGGAGGAGGAAGGGAGGAAAGACTAGCAAATGAACAGAGTGCAATTGTGGAAAGCGTTGTCTCCTTAGGAATCAGACTAAAAAACTAAGAAATCTTTTTCCATGCAACATACAGTAAAATCATACTCTGTCTCACATATCTCCTGACAATAAACATATCCATATACCATAAACTATAGTTAAATATAATTTCTCATGGATACATGAATTTTAATAATATATCTGCAATTACAATAATATTTGCTGTTATAATACATAATTCATAGGCCCTTGGATAGAAAAAATAGTTGTCACATTATTGCAAAAATTTACCTTGTACGTTAACTTCTTCTTCGTATAATTGGGCACCCATAAAAATTTTCGAGTGACCTTTCCCACTTGGCAATCTATCACAATACAATCCTCTGCCAGAGGTTTCTTCCCTATTCCCTTAAGGCTAAAGATGTTTTCAGTGCCAGTTGTACCATTTCGCAGAATAAGCCTTCCCTGTGACAAAGAAAGAAGAAAAAAGTTTCAGCACTATAAAAGTCCCCTTTGGCTGCCAAACACACTCCTTTAGCTTATTAATCTTAAATCCAAGCAAAAAAAAGCATGCTTACAAGAAAGTGTTCCTATTGACTTTTCTAGCTCTTAAGTAAACTCTGCTGTTGAACGAGAAGAAAACTAAAGAAACAAAAGATTTGATTTTTAATTTTTCTAACTTATGAAATTTAACAATATAAAGCCTTCATATTTCTAGATTTTGTACTTCTTGTCTTCTTCCTGGAAAATAAATATCTGAGAAAATATGTTTTCATGCCTCATATAAAATATAGCCTCATACAAAATATAGCTCATTCCTCATATAAAATATACCTTTGCTCAATCATTTCCATTTGTCCTTCACCTAAAATGTTCTTCCTAATTATTTATCATCAAAGGACTCAGGGCTTTTGGCTTTTAATAGTTTTATAATACTGGATTTCTAAACTACATTATATTTGGTTGGTAATGCATGCAGAAGTATTACTAATGTTTCACAGATTTTTTTTTTTTTTCCCTTTGGCAATTCACACATTTGAATAGCAATCTGTGGTCAAAATCGCTCAGCTAGTATACAGGCAAAAATAGGTATACTGTTTCCTGCTAAAGGTGTCGTAGCTTTTGCCCTGTTCTTCATTTTAGCATTCAGAATAGTGATTACTCTGATGGCAAAAGCAGCTTCTAAGTAGTGGCTTAACTTGTAACAGAAATCATTTTATAAACAAAGTATCTATCAAAAATTCATTCATGGAGTATGCATGCAATGAGAAATACCCAGTGTTACTACTTTATTACTTAGGTAATGAAATACAATTTAATATATGTATTTAAATTCAGACTAACACAATGTACATTTTTATGATCAAAGTTCAGAATTTCTACAGAGTAACTGTTCGTTTCATTAAAATGGAAAGTTTTATAGGAGAGCAAGTAAAGGAAGGGATAATAAAGGGTGGTGGGGAAATCCATCATGTCTAATCTTAAACTTTGCAAAGTCAGTTCCTTTGGTTTTTTACCTCAGCTAGTAGGCTACCTTTCAATTTCTGACTCTCAGGTAGGTGCTCAATATTAGTACCTGCTTAAGCACTTTCATAATTTGGACACTGATGTAAATTCTATTGACAGAAGTATCCTTTTCAAATGTTGAAACTAATTTCTATCTTACCATTGTTATGCCCTCAACGATAGGCTTGAACATGAGAGGATACACAGCTGTTTCACCTAGACCCACATTTATTAGAGGAGGTCCATAAAAACCCTGTCCTTCCAAAATTGCTTCAAGTTTCTGGTTCTGGCTGGATATGTTACTCTGAAATCAAAGTAAAGGTGTAAATTAGATTATGCATTTAAAGCTCTTAACATGCATTTCAGCTTTTACTTGCAGTTATCATCAAATCAGAGCACAGTACTCATTTTCCCAAAGTACTGCTCGGAGCACCCCTGGGGAGAATAAAAGATTGTATTTTAAATATGAATTAAGCTAATAATAAATCCCTTATTCCTGGCAGCCAGAGGTATTGGTACCAATACTATCAGTAGCAATACTGTCAGCAGGAAT